TTGTTTTCTTGAATTTCCTACGAGTTTTGTATACTAGTTTTATCAGGGTGACTTTTGCGCAAAGTCGCCTTCTTCAGGGCCTGAAACGATCATAATAAGTTGTGACTATCCGATCAAAAGTCTTCACTGCCACACTCAAGTTCGAGACCCCCAAGGCACGCAGGTGACTAATGGAGAACCACTCACCGTAGTTGGCTGGTTTCTTCAAAACCAACCAGCAACCGGTGATAACAATCGATCAGTGTCAACTGGGGTAGGTCTTGTCTTCATTTAAAGTCTCTTCGGGAAGGCCAACTTAATATAAGGTCGCAGTGCCAGGCATTCTACCCTACGATTCCCTTCTGGATCGACGACTTGTATCAAAAATGCCTCGAAGGTTTCACGTGCGATTGATTGCGACTCCTGGGCCACAACCTCCGCAGTGAACTCAAAGACGCAATCGTTGTGCTTTTAATTTGGTGACTCCCTGAAGCAGTGAATTCTTTTAATCGCGTCATGCCATATATGTGCTTCTTAATCCTCACGTGGAGTAGTTTTCCCATCTCGCCAATATACTCACCACCACAATCGCGGCAACTAGATATGGTGCAATCTCCCTCCTTGCCAGCTGGGCAGACCACACAGTTTGAGTTTGTATATGGGCGATCGTATAGCCTGTTCCGAACCTGGCGCTTCTATAGGTTGAAGGGCAGCAAGTAGTAGCAGCAGCTCACAGTAGCAACCGTATCTTCCAGGTCTGATTTCTTAGGACACTTCCTAACAGTGGCACAGACCTCATCGTCGATAAATGGTAGTACAAATGGAATCTTCCCATCAATCGAGGCACTACCATGTCTGAGAATAACGGCGCCAGAAGAAGCTCTTTGTAAAGTCGAAAAGTGCACTAGTCATTCAACTAACAATATCGCATGCCATTTTAATCGACTCTTTTCGTTCATTCTCCCCAATGCAAAGAGCATCTTAGTGGTGCGGAACATATTCCTAACAACCGCTCGCTTTATGGATGAGCTGAGTGATAACGAACCATGGCATTTTCAATGCTGGGCTTCCTGTACCACTTCGTAACAATGATATCGCCCTGTAACATCACTTGTACGTTTAATAAAGGAAATTAATTTCCGTCAAATTCCAAGTCCTCTACTCTTTGATCCTCGGCATGCCTGTTGTTCTTGGAATCGTTAGTTTTTGCTTCTGACTCGGGGTTTTTAGGTGGAAATATTTATTCTGGCCGACGTTTCGACGGACTCGTCGATTTCAAAGGCCTGAAAGTGCTTCGAAGCTTGTTGATTGTACTCTACCCCACCAAGCGCCTCTT